CAAGCTTGGCGGCGTTGGTAAACATCGAAATGTTCCGCGAGGAGAATAAACATCAACAGGAGCGCACTGGGCAACAGGACCACGAGTCTCCAAGAGCTGCGGCACAAGCCGTCGGGTCCTGGGGCGGCGTCGGTTGTCCTCTGAAGGGCGTCGCAAAGTTGGTCGAACGCATGGCCCAGCGGAGCCGCCGCCGGCGGGTGGAGTCGGCGAGTTGGAAGGGGGGGGAAGCGGGGGGGGGGGGGGGGGAAGGGGAGGGGGGGCGAGGGGCAGAAAACCATCCCCTGCCCCCCGCCTCCCCCCCAAGCGTTCAGCCAGGAACCCCGCGCAGAGCTCGGGGTAAGCGGGGAACCCCATCGGGGCCGAGGATGCCTGCAATGGGCGCCGCCCGCTGGCCAGACTTCTAGTTCGCGCGGCAGTCGAGGCGCCCGATCAGTGCTCACATCTGCAACGGGGCGCCGAGCTGCGCGCATGGCCGACTCGGAGGACCTGTGCCCACGCCTCGTGAACTCGCTTAGGCTCTGTAACCTTCTCTCCCTGACCCTTAGGCGGAATTGTCCTCGACGCCACCCACGGTGGTCTCGTCGTGGAGGATGAACACGTCGACATCGGCCAGTTTCCTGACCCCCCCTCGCGTGGCGCTCCCCTCTCGGGAGGTCCCAGAGCCCATCTTCCCCGTCAGGCCCCTGCCTGAGTCTGCGTGCCCAGGTGCGAGTGGAAGCCGCGCAGCTTCTCCTGCGCAGTCAGCGCTCTGCGAGGACGATGGGCACGAGCGAGAAGAAAGCAACGCGCGGTCTTCTGAGGGACCGCTCTGCCGCGAGGTTCCGATACCTCACGTGTTGTCTTCTGAACGGCGGCGATCATTGCACGACTGATTGCGAGCTCGGGTGGTCCATCCAAGACGTAGTCCTGGCCCTCCGCGAGGGCTTCAAACATGACAGCGAAGGTCTGCCTGCAGAAAACCCAGGCCAGGAGACAACTCTTGTCTTACTGCGGGCCCCAAGCTTTCAAATACTGATACACGGGAACGTGATCATGAGGAACTGCCATGTCTGTGATCTGCCATGCCGTGCCGCTTACGGGAAACACATCAAGGATGTGTGCAGTGGGCATGGGTGTGTAATGCGATCGAGTCTGGCATGGGATGCAGAGGCCGAGGGAATAGTTACAATCCTTCGGTGGGTAAGCGAGTCATGCCTGAGCTCGGCGAGAGGAAGAAACACGCCATGAGAGGGCACCTGCGAGCCTCATTGGTGCATGCCTTTCTGAGCCCCTCGTGGCATTGAACATACATTCAGCCTGCTCGCAGCAATTGAAGCCCCCGAGAATAGAAGCGGAATTGACGGATGCGGGAAGTAGGTATCCACGAACTAATCCGCACTGGGCTCGTAAAGCTGGCTCCGGGAGACCAGGATTCGAATTAATGTTTACAAGTTGCATGTCGCCGCGAGGCCCATGTGGTGAAACCGAACAGATACGCCCACGCACATCGTGAGTCATAACATGTCTTGCCAGCTAGTGGGGGAGGAAGGTGAGCACGCCGCCAGCATGCTGCCACGAAAAGCACTATCCATGGATCGCGTGATCCTTGCAATCTCTCTGAGGGCTCGGGATGTCACTGGGGGCCCACTCAGATTCCTGGAAAGATAATGCATCAATCCTTCCGGGAAGATTCTCAAGCCGTTGATGTTTGAGTTGCTGATTGTGGCCGATATGAACCGATCACAGTTTGAACGTTCCAGGTGACGAGCTTCAGGGGGCGTTGGTGGAGAAAGGGGAAGTGGGGAGGGGACAGGCCTGGATCATTGGGCCCTGACGAGTCCTGCACACACAAGCTGTGATTACTGGCGGGAAGGGGAAAGCAGGAATGGAGACAACAAACATCCCACAGGCACTACGACTCCCACCTGAGCCCTGCGATGTATGGGTGGCCGCATTGGCAGGAGGCTGGCAAGCGTCGCGGGGAGGGCAGGGGGCTCCAGAGGGGGCTCAGAACAAGACCTTGGTGCCCTGGAAGAGTGTTTCAAAGTATCGATGACTCCCTGAATCTGCGTGGCTGTGATGTCCCAGTGCTGCAAGTGTGTGAGCATCGGCTCTAAATTGTATGTATACTCGGGGACAGCAATTGCACAGATAACCTCGTGTACGTCATCGGCCGTGACGATTTGAAGCACGCCCTTGTGGCCATCGACCCCGCGCTCGCACCCGGAACTTCAGTTGGGGTATTTCTGAACGAGGTCGTGCACCTGGGTATAGACCATGTTCTGCCTCACGCGCAACCCTGGCATCGCTCGGACGTCCATTCCCTGTGTTTTTGTTCGGTTTCGTGCGTGGCTTTTTCGCCAAATGATCAAGGATGCTCCTCGATGGCCCTCGCCGACGGAAAAATGCACACGTCCGAGCGATGCCAAGCAACGGGGGGCCGCCTCGGATCCGCAGCGGGTGGACGATGTTGCCGCGGAAGACCTTTCACTGGATGTCGATGGCGCTGGCGCGCCTGACGAAGCCTTCGGCCCAGTCGCGCCTCGCGAATGTGCAGCTTGTAGACCTGGCTCACGGAGTGGAGGATCACCTCCACACGCTCCTCGGCCAGCTCCGTGGACGACAGGCTCAAGATTTTGCGGAACATATGCTTCACGAGCTTTCCGAAGACAGGGTCGGGGAGAAGTCCCCATCAACTTTACGAGAGGGCGACCGTCGACCTGTGTAAAGTCGATGAAGCCTCGGAGCTGGACGCCGTACTGCCCGTAGCACCTTGCTGAACCGTGAGGTGGGAGCTTTTCCTGGCCTGTTCCTGCAAAGCGGTCTGTAACTGGGAGAGCTTGGCACCCTGAGCATGGACGGGTATTCAACCGAGTGTGCTGCTTCTGTGATTCTGGAGCTCATAGTACCCAAGAGCTCCTTGCTCAGCCAGGAGCCCTTCCTTCATCATTCTCATGGCCTCCATCCCAGCCATGGCGGAGGCGCGCAAGGTGCGCAGAATGGCGGAGATGCCTCACTGAACCTCGGGCCTATCCCAAACCCTGAGCCAAAATGGCACGGAAGGGACGGGGAGGAGGAGGAGGAGGAGGAGGAGGAGGACAAGGAGGAGGAGGAGGAGGAGGAGGAGGAGGAGGAGGAGGAGGAGTAGGAGGCGCAAGAGGGAGGCGGGGGAAGCAGAGAGGTAGCAGGAAGAAGGGAGACTGGAGGAGGGCGCGGAGCTCCCCCGCCCGCGGCGCCCCAGGGCTGGGCCTCTGGGCGCCCTGAGCCGAAAACTCGGATGCGCGCCGGCGGTTCCCCAACGAGGGGGCGCTGCTTCGGCGGGAGGACAGTGAGGACAGTGCCGAGAGCGTGCAGGTGAATCACGAACACGCCTCGAAAAGGAAAGGGACGAGAGAGAGACCCTCATCCAACAAGGGGCACTCTCCGCGCCGTGCGCGGGGCCGGGGAGCAAGCTGCTTCGGCGGGAGCCCGATAGTGAAGGAGAGCAGAAAGAGGCGGATGAGGAGGAGGCCTCGTGGCTCAGGAGCGGAGGAGGAGGGCTCGTGACTCAACAAGCCTGGCCTTCATGTCCGCCCGATGTAGCAATGGATCAGCAGGCCCGTCGAGGGGCCGAGTCGATGATTACGCGCGAGCGCGCTGCTGGTATTGGAGAGAAGCGAATCGAGCCCTGGGATTTGCAATATCGGCTTGTAGGCAAGCTGGCTTGAGGGCGAGACGGTCGGCTACCGCATCCCCTGAGGCACGGCCTCGGGAAAGCGCATCTCGGCGACAGTTGCACGTGTGGAAAATCGTGACGACCCGAATTATGATGTCATCGCACAGCTTCGCAGGCACGAGCCCCAGGCGAATTGTCAAGGAGAAGGAGGAGGAGGAGGAGGACGCAGACATGCTCGCAAGATAATGAGGAGCATGAAGAGGACCCAGACACATGCAGCCGCGAGTACCGCATGACAGGAGAAAACTACGGGAGGGGCTCGCAAAATAACTGAGTTGCTGGTGAGAAGGACGGATCGACGTTACTGATGCGGTCGCAAGGGTCAACTGCAACGGGTCACATCTGGATGTAACCCGTCACGGCTGATCTGAGCGCCTCCCGACCCGGCCCTTGAGAGCAGCAGGGCGCGGTCTGGGGAGCAGCAGGTGGCGGAGCCTTTTGTGGAGCTCCAGCGGTGCCACGACGCGTGCGAAGGGTGTGCCAAAATGCGGGGCGGTAGCGCATGAGATTCCTGTCCATGGGGCTTCGGTGGAGCTCCCTGGGTGGCCGCGAAAAGTGCGAGGGATGTGCTGAAATAGGCACGGTCACGCATGCGATTCCCGCCACTGGGGCCTTCGGCGGAACCCTTTATGGTGCCACGAATCGAGCGAAGGGTGTGCCGAAATGGACACAGTCACACATGCGATTCCTGCAAGTTGGGGCTTAGCAAGAGTTCCTGATGTGGCCACGTGTTAACGGTGTGCCGAGATGGGCGCGGTCACGCATGCGAGTTCTGCCACTGGGGCCTTCGGTGGAGCTCCCGATGGGGCCACGAAACGTGCGAGGGATGTGCCGAAGTGTGGTGGGGAGGCGACGCTGGCGCCCACGAAACATTGCAAACTTCAAACACGAATGTGCGCGGCGCAAAAGAGCGAGAGCCAAAGTTTGAATGCAACCGCCCTGTAACCTTAAATACAGCTGCAAGCTTTAAAAGCACATGTGCGCGGCGTAAAACACGAGAGCTATAGGTTGGTTACGGCCGCGCATCAGTTTCGCGGCGCTGAGGCGAGAGCCACATCTTGAAAACCACCCGCACTCGATCCTGGGAACTGTTGCAAACTTTTGACACGAATGTGCACGGCGCTGCGGCGAGATCCACATTCTGTAAACCAGTCGCGCTGCTGCACATCTCAAGCTTCGGGATCAACCTACTAACACGTCTAGGGGCTCGACAGGGCGAAGCTATGTATAGGGAGAACGGAGGAGGAGAGTGAGGAGGAGGAGGACGGATCAGGAGGGAGAAAAGGAGGATGCTGACTGTCTGGAGGGGGATGCGAGCAGGAGAAAGACGGGGTTTCTTCAATTCCCCTGGAGCTTTTGCAGACGAACGGACGCCTCGACAGGATGCCGAGCCGCTTCTGGCGCGACGCCTCAGCTGCGGCCGCTGCCCCCCTGCAGGGCGCGCCACCAACCCATCACAGTCTCAGACATTGTCACCTGGCCGGGAACATCAAATCCCTCCCTCTCTTTTTCCGCCCCATCCCTCCTCGTCCTCCCTCGTCCGTTCGTCCACAGGTAACCTTCGTGCCGTGCGCAATTCCCCCCACACACACACACCTAATGAACACTTCTAAGCTGCAGGCTGATTTCGCGGGCGTTCGCTGCGCTCACTCTGCCCGCCGCAGAAGCTGGTCGCTGCTGCGCTGAAGCGCGGGCTGCAGGCAATCGTCGTCGTTCTGCGGTCGCCAATGAAGGAGCATGCCATTGATCACTTTTGCCGCGGCGGGGTTCGTGGCGATTCACAACAATGAACGATCCCCCTTCCCCCTCAGTCCCTGCCTCCCTTCCAGTTCCTCATCCCGCCTTCCTCATCCCATTAAGTCCTCCCCCTCGTTTCGTCCTTTCTTCGTCACCGCCTAGGCCCTGCCTCCTCGTTTCTCCCTCCTCCATCTCCTCCTCCTCCTCCTCCTCCTCCTCCTCCTCCTCCTCCTCCTCCTCGACTCGCCTCCTACCCCGCGAACCACCCCATCCGCTAGGACCACGACGCCAATCGCCCCCCCACCCCCCCTCGGCGGGCCGGCGAAAGGCTCACGAAGACGACGACGACGACAACGACGACGACGACGACGACGACGACGACGACGACGGCGACGACCGCGGGCACCCGAGACGCACAAACATCTTGCTGGCGCACGGCGGCGGCGGCCAGCGGTTTCGGCGCCACCGCCGCCCAGAAGACCAGGGGCAGGGGAGCAAGGACGAGCGGGATTGCGGGATTGCTGTCAAAATTGACAGACGGGGGCTGTCGCGTATTTGGATGAACAAGCTCGATCAGTCGCCACGTGCGTGGAGGAAGAGGAAAGCAGCAGGGGAGGGCGAGTAAAGGAGAAGCCGCAGCAACGGCAAACAATGCAGCATGCGGCGCGGCCGTCGGCCGTCGCCAAAGCAAACTGGCTCTGCGGGGCGCTCGTCCCGGCCCAGCGGGGCTCACACAGTGGTGAGTCCCCCTGCATGGGTGGTTGTTTTGGGTTGCGGTGACTCTCCCGCCGACGGGCAAAGCGGCCTTTTTTGCCTACTACCAAGCATGTGTGTTTGAGAATGTGGCTCTCTCACCTGGTGGCCCACTACGGGGGCGTCACACGGCGCTTTGGTATTGGACGGGCCCGCCAGCCGAGACGATTCGCCCCTCGCTTACCACGCCTCGCTCCTCGTTTCTCCATCTTCGATTCCCCTGCCCCTGGGCTTTGGCGAAAGTGTCGCAGGACATCTTTTCTGATTGGCTGTGTCATCAATGCTCTAACCTGATAGATGCATCCAGCACCATCCGGTGTCATGCCAGCGCGGGACGACGACAACGACCTCCTGCTCATCCTCCTCCTCCTCCCCCTCCTCCTCCTCCTCCTTGTCCTCCTCTTCCTCTTACTCGCCTCAACCTCCTCTTCCCCCTCGCCCACTCACCCAGTCATTCCAGCGCGCCCACATGGGGCTCACTGTGGCCAGGACCCTGGGCAAGGGCCAGGCGTGGCGTCGCCTGAACGATAGCTCTGGCAGTGGTGCTCGTGCATCTTGCGCGTGCAGAGTCTCTGCTGGCCGAGCTCGCAGTCGCGAAACAATTCTATGGACTCCCAGGGGCACGCTCAAGAGTTCCAACGCGTCTCGGCTGGACGCGCACGCGCCGGCACAAGTGTGCATACGAGGTCCATCCCCATCCCTCCCGTCGACTCACAGATGTGTCAGCACCTTCCCCCCCCCCCATCCCTCCCCCTTGCGTAACTCCTCCCCGTCCTTCCCCCTCGAGTAGCTCCTCGCCTCGCAGTGACCCCGTGACCTTGCGCCTCGCAGTGGCCTCCTTCCCCCTCCCTCCCCCCCCCCCCTCGAGTAGCTCCCCCCTGGCGGCTCACCAAGTGTGCCAGCGGGGCGGCCTGGGCGTTTGGCCCGAGGCAGCCTCACCAGTTACAATCAGCACGTATACCAAGGACCTCAGTGGGCCCTGGAAACGACAAGGCCGTTTTTGTTACTGGTTCCGTTTTGCCGTTTTTTTGCCGGTTCCGACGCCGTTGTTTTACCGGCTCCGTCGCCGTTGTTTGACCGGTTCCGGCTCCGGTTCCAATCCTGGAGCCGTTTTTGTTGCCGTTTTCGGTCGCCGTTTTTTTTTCCTGTTTTCATTTTTAAGGGACTGTGTTTTGGAAACGGTGAAAAAACGGCCCTGCCGTTTCCGGGGCCCACAAAGCTAAGGACGCGTGGCAAGGACCCAAGACCCTTGGAGGCGGAAGTTGGGATTTTTTGGGGCGGCGGCGACCAGTGAAAACGGCAGAGGACGGGCCACAGAGGCAAGGACGCGAGGGCATCCTGGATGAAGGCGCGCGTCCTTACTAGGCGCGTTGATTGTATGAACCCGAAGCTAGAAGATCTGCAGCAGCGTCAAGAACGGAGGGCGAGCCCGCTTCGCAGTGTGGCTCTCGCTTTCATCACCGCGCACACCCCTGCTCATGGTGCACACCAGCTTCACGGATGGAAGGCGCGCCGTTTTCGGCAAGCCCTGTTCGTAGCGTGGCTCTCGCTTTAGTTAACACTGCGCACACGCCTACTCATGGCGTGCACCAACTTCACCCAATGTGGTTTCCGAATCGGCGCCGCGCGCATGTTTGGCAAACCCTCGCAACAATTTCAAAACATGGGGGACGGGCCGTCTGCACCGTGCGGTTCTCGCCATGGCGCCGCGCACATCCGTCTTACAAGTCCGAAGCAGCTTCACAATGGAGGGCGTTGGTATATTCAAAGAGTGGCTGTCGCCCTAACGACGCGCGCATTCGTTGCAAACGTTTGCAACAGCTTCAAAGATCCGTAGGGCTGAGGTCCCTTGAATGGTGTTCTGGCACGATGTGGAACTGCCAGGGCGCAACTGTCACGTTGATGTTCTTTGTGAAGTCCAGGAGTTATGCAGTGGCACGATGTGATATTGACACGGCGCAGCAGTCACATTGCTTCGTGGCGTCCAAATCTAAGGACGGGTGGATTGGCACTGGTGGGGGATCTCAGACGGATGCCATTCAATGAGTCTCCTGCTAAGAAAATCAATGCTTGTAGGGACCTGTGGTGAGGGAAAATGGACACATGGTTTATTGCAACATTGTTAACGCGCATCGGGTTTTCGCTAGTGCTCCTCCTCCTCCTCCTCCTTCTCCTCCTCTTCATACTGCCTTCCAGCCCCTCCTCCTCCTCCTCCTCCTCCTCCTCCTCCTCCTCCATTCTTCTCCTGACACCCTCGCCTGGAGCTCCACCAGCGGCTCCTGTGCGCGCACTCGGTCGCCCTCCTTCCGGAGCAGCTTCGCGACCTCCCGGAGCGAATGGGGCCGCGGTAGAACGCCCAGGGTCGCAGAACGAGCGGGCGGGGGAGAGGGCAAAAAGGGAAGGAGGAGGAGGAAGGAGGATGGAGGAGGAAGCAAAGGGGAAGGGAAGGGAGGGGGAAAGGTAAGAGGGATGGATGGAGGGAGGGACGGAGAGAAGAAAAGGGGGTAGGGAGAGGAGGGGGGATGACAGAGGAGGATGAGGGAGGAACCCGGAGGACTGAGAAAGAGGATGGGGTGAACGCGTAGGATAAGGAGCCAAAAGGGATAGGATGGGGACGGGGGAGCCAAGGAGGCCCGCTGTAAACCCAAGACCCATCAACGATATTGCAGAAAAGCCTTCCTCCAGGAATTCACTTCACAAGCCCCTTACAGTGGTTCCTTTTCGCTGAAGGAAGCGCTGAAGGAAGCGCCCCGTTGGAAGACAACCGTTTGAACATCCTGGGACTTCAACGCCGCGCATCACCGATGCTGTTACTTCTTGCCGATCCCGAATCGTGCCAGAGCGCCAATCGTGGAACTTTGACGCAGCGAAGCAGTGTAACCGTTGCGCTCTGCTGACAATCCGACATCAAGCCGAAAGACCATTTCTGGAACCTTAGCCATGGGAATCCTTGGAACCACGTAAACTCTTACATCGAGTCTGCGCGGCGCTACGCAAGGCGAGCGCAAGAAAATGAAAAAGAGCCACCCTCCACCCGGGAAGCGCTAACAAGTTGTGAAGACGAGTGTGCGCAGCGCGGAAGGTAAAGCCACGATGTGACATGGACACCCCTCCATCCGTAAATCCCACCAGCCCTTTGGGCGTGAGTGGTTTAGCGAGCTCTCTCTGTTCTCAACCCCCTAACCCCCTATCTTCCCCTTCGGGGAGGGGTTTACCCCTCCCCCTACCCCCTCCCCCCTGGACCTGGAGTGGGCGGGCCGAGTGGGATCAAGGTAAAGCCACGATGTGAAATTGACACCCCTCCATCCGAAAATTCTTACCACTTGTTCGAACGAGCGCGCACGGCGCTGAAGCTACCACCATGCTGCCAACGGCGCGTCCTGCATCCGTTGAAGCTGTTGCGAACGTGTAACATGAATGTGCGCGGGCCAGAGCGAGAAGCGCATTTCTTAAACCATCCGCCCTCGAGTGTGCGCGGCGCCAAAGCGAGAACTACATTTTGAAAACGACCCGCCCACCATCCGTGAAGGTCGTGGAGGTTTTCAGCTGAACGATCATAATGGTGGGAAAATCGCAGGCGAAACGCCCGGCCCGCCCTACCGAAACGCCTCGGGGTGCGACAGGGAGGAATCATTTAGCAGGAAAAGGGATAAGGAGGATATGTTTTCTAATGCTGGCCTACGTACGCGCTACCATGGTGTCCACCACGACGGAGTCGGGCATACTGTCGGCGTCCACCATCACGAAATCCAACAATACCACGTTGCCACCCACGACGGCGTCGAACACCACGCCGGCATCTAAAACTACGGAATGGATTGCTGCCACATGGGCCACCACGACAGAATTGGGCACTAAGTCGTTATCAAGCACCATGGTATCGAGCGCTATCTTTCTGTCCACATCGTGAAGCTGAGCACCCCGTGCACATCAGATACATTAAGAAATCCCATGTCTAACGGGTTACTTCGTCGGATCCCCCGAGTCGGTGCCTTGCATGGTCCAACCAGCTGTGGACCACTACGGTGCTCACCACGTCGTTTTCCTGCACTTCAGACTCAAGCATAAAGGCGCTCGATCCACCTAAGTACGCCTATTCTGGTTTGATGGGGTCACATCCTGGGCTCACTCTGTGCTACTCTGGCCCAGTGACTCCGTAATCGAACTTATTGTGCGGCTTACAGCATGGTCCCTAATCGTTCGTACGAGGACCTCGCTGCTTCCTACAAAGAGCACGCGGTGGACGGGGGAAGGGCCAGGCGAGGAAGCACACGAGCGAAAAGGTACAAACAAAAGCACGAGCAAACACTAGTGCGGGCAGGTGTCTGGGCCTGCTGGAGGCTGGGCGGGCGAGGCCATGGCCTCCACATGAAAGGGTGCACGTGAGACATAGACATCAAGTGGCACGAAAGGGGGAGTAGTAGTAGTAGTAGTAGTAGTAGTAGTAGTAGTAGTAGGAGGAGGAGGAGGAGGAGGAGGAGGAGGAGGAGGAGGAGGAGGAGGACCCCAAGAAGTCTGGACCCATTCCCGGGGACCGGCTTGTCATCTCATGTCGGTCTCTTAGGACGGTCCCTGGGGGCCTATGAGTGCCCCGGAGGCCAAAAACTCAACACATCCGCGCGCCGTGCTTTTGCTCACGACGCGAGCACGTCTGGGGAGCCGGCAACAGGCGAATCCAACATGACCATACTCTCTCACTGTCTCGGACGTCCGCGCGGATCCATTGGACCGGCGCTGAATCCCCTCCCTGGCGCGCGGAGCGTAGCAGGGGCGGCGCCAAAGGCGCCGCCAGGGGGGCCCAGCGACAGGAGGAGCGAGGAGATGAGGCCAGCAGGAGGTGGAGCGAGTGGGGACGAGGCGCATCGAGGCCGAGGGAGTCGAGGAGTGCCCCCCGCCCCCGCGCCGTGCCGCTCCGCGGGGTGCAGACGTCCACGACCTGCAACGGGCCGACCTCCACCTCCGCCACCACGTCGCCCGTGCTCACGGCCGCGCCCTCGCCCCGGGGGAACCTGCAGATGAGGGAGCAAAGCGAAGTGGCACCCCTGCGGCAGCAGGCTCTGAGCAGCTTCGCGCGGTTACGGTGGGAGGGACCGACAGGGGCGCACGATGGGGGGATCGGGATAGGGATAGGTCTCGATCACGCTCACTCGCTCTCCCAACACGCAAGTAGCACCCGAGCCTCAGCATGTTCAGCGGTCGTCTATGGGTGGGCAGCTTCTGAAGACCAAACCAGACCCCACGTGCGCGACGCTGGGGCGAGGTGCGCCACGCGTGCCAGGCGCGCCACGTGCGCGAGGAGCGTAAGGCACCCCTGGGGCCCAAGCGTGCCAGGCACGCCTGGCGCGCCAGATGCGCCACGTGCTCCACGTGCTCCGTGTGTGCTGCATGGTCCAGACGCGTCAGGTGCGCCACCTTCGGGGCACGCGCAGTGTGCGCCAGGTGCGCCCGCGCACGTGATAAGACACATCTGGAAGCATGCCGCCCGCACCGTCCCTGTCGAAAACCTATGCACAATCGCGGCGGGGAGGCCAGCATGGTGCCTGGTAGGCCTGCGCACAGCATACAATATGCCAGCAGTGATCGCGGGGTGGCCGCGCAGGATACAGATTCAGCCTCGAAGTGTAGGTTGTATTGTTTGGAATGGATGGAGGCCTTGCGCGCAGCAGGCAATATGAGGGTGCCTCCGCCGTCCCTGTCAAAACCAAATAGAGAAAGTGTTTGCGGGGCGAACAATGGCCTAAGGCTTTGGAATATTAGCAAGGGGACGTAACAGTTGTATAGGGAAAGGGTCATGGATAAGGGATCGGATAAGAAGGGATAGGAATCTGGAAAACCTGCCGCTTAGAAAGCCCAGTACGAACGGTCTTTGTAAGAACGGTCGAGGGCTAGTCTTAAGACGAACTGAATACGACGAGGCCAGGGCAGGGACAACATCGGATCAGGATGAATCATAGATCTGTGAGATGAGGCGGTTCTGCTGGTATCGTGCGCCGCGGCCGTTCCAGAGCGCTCCAACATGCTCTGAGAGCGTTCTGGCACGCTCCGGAATGGCCACATCATGTCGAAGAGAGAGCCGGATTGAGCGGGATTAGGCGGGACTAATCGGGATCAGGCCAGTACTCGACCACGGATATGCCTGCGCCGATGCTGCATTCAACTCCTAGGATTTTCAGTGGTGCCATTCTACTGGCGAAGCTTTTGACGACAAAACGCAATTCAAAAAATTAAACGCTTAATCGCAAAATGCTCGGTATAGCGTTGGACCAATCGCGGCTGACTGAACGCGAAAACGCGAGCGCCCGCGCGATGCTCCTCGCTGCAGACTGAAGCCCCGATGGGCACCACGATCACAGCGTTTGGCGCGAAAGGGCGCGGACCGAATTGCCTGCCAATCGCGACGTTGCGATGAGGAACCGCTGCGCCAAAGACAGCGGCAGCGGTGCTACATCGAACAAACACCTTGGAGCAAGTATCATTGCGACAGCGACATCAAAGGCGCCATTACGTTCAATGACACATTGGAGGTCGCGCAACCACGCGCGAACCCCACGCGGCACTACAGCGCGCAACCGCATGATGAACGCAAACTGCACAAGCCAACGCGATGCGCGTGCCTGCGCGCGCTAACCCACAACCAGTGGCTCGCACGTGCGCGCGCGCACGTTCGAGGGCGATGGCATCGCCAGAAGTCGCGGCGCGATGGCAACTGGCTGTGCAAATTTGCAGGTCGCCAGGCGCACTTCTGAAAGTTCTTGGGGTCGCAAAACCATAATGAAAACCGCGCCGCGCATCCAAAGCGACGCGATCACGCGAGTAGGGCCGCCCGCGCACGGCAAGGCGCGAACGCAAGCCCAAGCTGGAAAAAAAACAGCGAGGTATGGAATCGGATTGCAACGGGCGCTGGTTTTCAGGGCGCGCTAAAAACGCATCGCGCGTCGAAGCGCGACCGCCAACAGTCAGCTATGAGGCTGGGCACCCTCGCTGGGAACGGTCAGAACTCAAGAGCAGCGGCCAGGAATTGATGGGCGCCTCGAACGGCGGCGACAACAAAAAAACACATCCTCTCGTCGCCGCGCGGCGCAAGAAGCGGCGCAGTCGACCGCGCACGTCCGCGCCGCGCAGATTAGCGCAAGACGCGACGCACAACGAAGGGATTGAAAGCCCGCTCGCGCGCGCACGCGCGCACGCCGCAAAGGCGGGAGCGCGCCTCCGCGGGCCTGCGCGCGTTCCGAAGGGCCGACAGCGCGCGCCAGCGCAGCCTGCGCACTGGGCGTCGACCCACCGCGGAGACGACGTCGACGCAGAGGGTTCTGTGGAGCCAGAATACTTGAGCCAGAATGGTCGGATCCAAAATTGCAACAGAGGGGGGGGGCGCCGGGGGCGGCGGGGGGGGGCAGGAGCGGAGGGTTTGGCGGGGCGGGGGCCGGAGGCGCAGCGGGGGGACGCAGAGTAGAGCGCGGCGAGGGGGGGAAGGGGGTCGGAGGGGAAGGAAAGGAAGGCCGCCACCATGCTTTCGCACGCAGAGGCGCGTGAAAACGCTTCGCGCTTCCATTTGGGATTATTTCCAACGTTCTCTAAGGCGTATGACGTACTTGCAGTTCGACAGGATATGCAATCGCACCCCGTTTGGCGCGCGCAATGCGTCTGGTTAGTGTCATCGAGGCCACGGCCGTGCATAAGTGACACAACAGCCGCCCCGTCTCAACAACCATCTGTTTGATCGTTTCAACCCCCGCGCGTCCCAATCCAATGTTGGCCCTACGCTGCCCGACAAGTTCCAAAGCGGGCCCCGAGACGGCCGCGCGTGGCCCCGAAGCGGCGCAGGAAGACGTCGCGACGGCCCCTTGGGGATCCCAGAAGGCGCGCCGCGACCAGCTAATCCTTTGATTCCGCACCGACAAGACCCACGAAGGACGCACGAGGCGGCGCAAACGCGCGCAAGGATATCCGAGGGCCCCCACCACAGCACCGAAAGACAAATACTATTGATCTATCCTTGATTATATTCAAGATGTGGAGGTCCGCACCTTTCGGGCTCCCTGGCGCCCCAGGGCGGCCTTCGAGGTCCCCAAAGACCACTCCGAGACGGCCAACGACCCCTCAGAAGACCGCCCGATTGTCGGAGAGGGCCCCGAGACGGCCCATAAATCATCATAGATTATCAAACGACGCCCACAGGCGGTCTCGAAAGGAGTCCGCGAATAGGAAAAGCACTCAACCCGCGGCCGCCCAGGCGGCCCAAGAGCTCCGCAAGGGCGGCCCCCGCGCTGGTCCACAGAAGCCGACGCCATGCATGTTTCATCGTTTGTGTCCACGTTTGAAAAATCTGTCGCGTTTGTTTTCCGCATTTTCGGATGGGCCGCGAGATTGCTCCGAGCGCCCCAAAAAACTTCCAACGAGGTCCTCAACGGGGCCCATATGACGGCCCCGAACGGCCTCAAAATGACGGAAAACGAACGCAGGGCCACGCGAGGACGCGCCACGATGCCCCCCTTTATCAAGCACAACACCTGGGACAATGCGGGGCCAGTGTGCAAATTAGCATGTGCACCAATGCACCCAATGACATTTCATCAAACCTCAACTGTCCGAAACCATGCGTCTACCACATGTCAGCAACAAAAAAAACTGATGTGAAAACGCAACTGTCCAAAACGAGTTTCCTGGACAATTGAATCGCGGTTCTGATGTCTCGAATGTCATGCCGCAGGTTGCCTTCATCATCCGCCACAACACTGCGGAACCTCAACTGTTCCTAACAATTGTTTCCCTGGGCTCCTTACCACCAGGCTAACCCAACAACGCGGATAAGAAACGCCCAGCCACCAAACCAAAAAAAAAAAAACAATGTAGCCTGGCGAAAAACCCAACCATATACAACTGGGGGCTCCATGTGGGGCCGCGGACCGTGTGAGGGGTGCGTCCATGTGACGTGGCGCCGCCATGTGGACGATGCTACTGGGGCCTTCGGTGGACCCCCCTGTGGGTCCACGAACCGCGCGCTGGGTTTGTAGCCGCGCGATTTGTGAAGACCGCATGCGGGGCGGCGCACGATTTGTGAAGACCGTCTGCGGTGTTCTTGGCCAGAGGATTTGTTAACACCGTCTGCGGGGTTTTTGGCGGCACGATTTGTTAACACCCTGGGCGCGAAACGATGTGCGAACACCTGGGCGCCGCACGATGTGGTAACAACCTGGGCGCCGCGCAGTCCCACCAGCCCTCTGGGCGTAGGTGGTTTGGGGAGTTTCCTCTTCCAACCCCCTTTCTTCCCCTTGGGGGAGGGGTTTACCCCTCCCCCTACCCCCTCCACTGGACCTGGACGGGAGGTTTCGCTGGTAGTTGGAGCGTCCAAGATGGCCCAAGATGGCTCCAAGAGCGCCTCGGGGAGCCCAATATGAGCTCCAAGATTGCTCAAGAAGCTAGCCTCAGATGCCTCAAGACGGCTCCGAAGATGCTCCAGTAGGCCCGAAAACCGCCCCAGGACGGCTCCGAGAGGCCAGCTAGGTCCCCCAGGAGGCCTCCAAGAGGCCCAAATCCTTCAAAAACCGAAGGAACATCAATGCGTGTTGCTTTCTCACCCTTTCGCTTCCGATGGCCTTCCGAGGCCTCAAGATGGCTCCAAGAGGGCCCAAGATAGCCCCAAGAGGGGCCCAAGATGGCCTCAAGACGGCCCCAAGAGCGCCCAAGAGCGCTCCAAGAGCGCCTCGAGATGAGCCCAAGAGGCGATTTTAGAGGATCTAGAGGGGCAGGCCTAATTAACCCCACTCTCTTCTTTGATCGATCGCCTCCAAGATGGCCCTAAGAAGCGCCAAGGAGGCCCCAAAAGGCGCCAAGATGGCCCCAAGATGGCCCCAAGATGGCCCCAACATGGCCCCAAGAGGTCCCCGAGAGGCTCCCCAGGGCACCCAAGACGCCCCAAGAGGCCTCCGGGACCGCCGAGACGCTCCCAAGACGCCCTAAGAGGCCTTCAGGACGCCCCCAAGAGACCCCCGAAGAGACTCCGAGAGGC